TATCCACACCCACCGCCGCGCTATGCATTCTGGGATATGTTGGGCCACGAAGTCTACACCGCCACGTCCTTAAAATTCAGGGAAATGAAGGACGCATTTGAGGGCCGCATTTCGAGCAGCCTTTGAATTGGGACAGCCTATATCTTCTTCCTGTCTGAGTCTTCCTCCATACTGATGCTCCTCCCACTGCATGGAAGCTTGTTTCTGCCTCAAAGCCAAATTTTGAGAGAAGCCAAAATGTTAAATGTTTAGTGTGTATATTCTCGCCTCTAGCTGTCAGTAGATCGCAGACTGCAAATTTGAGATAATCACCGGAAATTTGACTTATCAGCCGAACATTGTCCGACATATCAGCTTCTGAAACTTGTAAGATCATAACCTAAAATTTCCGTGTCGGGCAGAAACCGTTTTATCTTTCATTGGTAGAAACGAGCTTCAGGCAGACTTCAGGTTAACGGGCTTTCACACGTGTGTGGCTGCTGTTTTCTAATATTTCAGGGGCACTACCCGGAGAAAGAGTTGGGCTTAAACAAAGCTCTGTTTTAGTTTAACTTCGGCTGATCGCTCTTCAGCACAGCAGGCAGATGTTTCCTGTAGTGAGAGCACATCTGTGAGAAAGAACACCTGTGTTCACCTCACCTTTGTTTGTGCAGGGCAGCTCACCTGCGCACAAAGAAAGAAGTCGGCAGCCATCACAATGATGGATGACGAACGTCTTAACCAAGATAATCTGAGCAAATATTTGATTGTGTTTTATTTACAAAGCAACAAAGCGCGTGGGCCTGTGTCCGGTTCATTTAATTGTGTGGATGTCCTCAAAAGGCATCCACACAATTGAGTTCCTGTTTCTCTTTATTCTTTATTATTCCTCTAGTTGCTTCCGTATTTTCAGTTTCTTCACCGCCATGCAACTTTTTGCAACTTTTCAACTTTTTCAGCTTTTTTCAGCAGACATCTTCAGCGTTGAGGCATCCACACAGCATTTTCGCAGGAAATGCAAATTTTTCTAGTTCCTCTAGTTGCTTCCGTACGTTTTTTGCCGATTAACTACTCCCTCAGTTTTCAGCCGATTTTCTCCATTCAAACTTTAACAAATTCTGCTCTTTCTGCTAATGCCAGCTATGACTTTTGGTGCTCATAACTTCTATACTTTTTGAGATATTGAATTTTTTTTGCAATATTTTTTGCCCATTTCTGCCATATTATCAGCGGCGTCACTGATTTTCCTCGCCGGGCTGAGCTGTGTTTTAGCTCAGTGAGATGAGCAGCCGTTCTCAGACTGGGAGGCCCGGGTTCAAATCCCGCTTACATTTCTTTTAGTTACCAATTCAACTTATTTAACTATTTTCAGCAAAATTTTCCATTTTTTCTGCTGTTTTCAGAAAAAACTGAAAATTTTCAGCCTTTTCACCTCTTATCAGCACAAATCTCTGCTCTTTTCAGAAAAAAAAAACTTTTCAGCTGAAATTCTGCTGATTCA